TTTTCAGCCAAATGATCTGCCAACGCCTGGGCCTTCATTGCCGTGCGAGTAACGTAGACTATGTCAAATTCAGTGAGCAAGATTTGCCATTTTGCCAGTCTCCCAGTGGGCATCGGTTTCTGGAATATGTACTTCAAAGGATCCAACCTGGTTATGAGATAGGTGGTGTGGGCTTGAAGATAGTGTCTCAATTTTTGAGCGACCCACGTCAGAGCACAGCATGTTCTCTCCAACAAAGTGTATTTGGCCTCGTAGCTGGTGAACTTCTTGCTCAGATAGTAAATTGCCTGCTCTTTCCTGCCGGTTATATCATGCTGCCCAAGAACACAGCCAAAAGAATTTTCCAACACTGTCAGATACAAGAAGAGAGGTCGCCCATGCTCCGGTGGGACCAATACTGGAGGATTTGACAAATATTCCTTGATTTTGTCGAAGGCCTCTTGACATTCGGATGTCCATTTGATTGCCGCATCTTTCTTCAACAGTTTGAATATGGGCTCACAGGTGGTAGTTAGTTGAGCGATGAACCGACTGATATAGTTTAACCTGCCCAATAAGCTCATCACATCCTTCTTAGTTCTTGGAGGAGGTAAATCTCGAATGGCCTTTATCTTTGTTGGATCTAACTCAATACCTCTCCTGCTGACTATGAAACCCAGGAGCTTGCCTGATGGGACTCCGAAGGCACATTTAGCTAGATTCAACTTCAGATCATACTTGCACAGCCGTTCGAAGAACTTTCTCAAATCTCGAACGTGGTCACTCTGAGTTCGGGACTTAATGATTACATCATCCACATACACCTCTATTTCTTGATGCATCATATCGTGGAAAATGGTGGTCATGGCTCTCATGTAGGTTGCCCCGGCATTCTTCAGCCCAAATGGCATGACCCGATAACAGTAGGTACCCCAGGGTGTAGTGAAAGCTGTCTTCTCGGCATCTTCTTCATCCATCAACACCTGGTGATATCCTGCGAAATAATCCACGAAGGACTGTATTTCATGTTTGGCGCAGTTATCAACAAGGATGTGAATGTTAGGCAACGGGATATTGTCTTTGGGACTTGCCCTATTCAAATCTCGGTAGTCCACACACACCCGGTTTTTCCCATCCTTCTTTGGCACTGGAACCACATTGGCTAGCCATGTAGTATATCGGACCACTCGGATTACCCCCGCCTTCAGCTGTTTTGTGATTTCTTCTTTCATCTTATCACTGATATCAGTTTTAAAATTTCTTTGCTTTTGCTGTACTGGAGGACAATCAGGGTAAATTGGCAATTTGTGCACCACTAGATCCACACTCAGTCCTGGCATGTCGTCATACGACCAAGCAAACACATCTTTAAATTCGAACAGGAGTTGGATTATTGCATCTCGGGTTTGCTCATCTGTGTGAATGCTTATTTTGGTTTCCCTTATTTCTTCGGCAGCTCCCAAATTAACCGGTTCAGTGTCATTCAGATTTGGCTTAGGTTTTTTCTCAAATTGTTCCAATTCTCGATTTGTTTCCCTAAAAGCCTCTTCTTCATCATATTCTGGTTCTTGATTCATTATTTCACAATTAGACAGCGTGTTTGAGTCTGGGCATGAAGTCCGCAAGCATGTCATGTTATTTAAAGCCGCATTATTATAACTGAAAAGAGAAGATGAAAAGGGAAAAATAACAAAATTAGAAAGAATAAAGAGAAAAATGGACGATGAAATATTGATTTCATTTCTTGGAATTGGAAAGACAACAGGGTTTACATTCAGGAATTTAAAGACAAGAAACTAGAAGAAACATCCGAGTTACACCCTGAAATAACTCGGGATGCAAAAAAGGTGACAGGGCTAGTCTACCGGGACTCCCGCCTGATCAGGAATGGCGTAGCCTTCCAGTTTTGGAGTTTAGCATCTGGTCCCATGTAGAGCACCTCAGCGGTGCTAGTCCCTTACCCTGGCTGAACCATGTTGGTTTCATAAAGCATTTGCCTCATAGCTCCACATATATCTTCGATTTCCTCAGCTGTGAACACCTCATCGTCCTCTTCTTTGCCATACTTGGGCTTGACAAAAGTATCATAGAGAGGTGGCAATGGTTGTGGTAGAACCCATCCTTCTTTCTTTCTTTCCTCATCCCATTTCTCATCATCTGGGGTAGGGTGGAAGCCTATCCTGAAAAACTTTTCTGCTGTGGGTAGAGTTACCGGCTCGGATATTCCTTGTAAAGCTTTTACCAACCCTTTTCCTGGTTTGAAACCGTGTCTAATCATTTTTCTGGCCACCATGATTGAAGCATTAGACAGGAAAGGCTGAGGACAAGGATTTCCCTCCTCGTGCTGATCTGCCACCACAATTTCAAAGGCTTGATAAACAATATGCTCACTTCCTTCCCTCGCCTCCAAGCATGGGATAGATGGGTCATGATAAATGGACTGCTCGTCTTCTCCGTGGACCACGATTTCCTGATCATCATATTCGAATTTCATCATTTGGTGGAGGGTGGAGGGCACGGCTCCCGCAGCATGTATCCAAGGCCTTCCCAGAAGAAAATTGTAAGATGTATCCATGTCCAATACCTGGAAAGTCACCTCGAAATCCACCGGGCCTATGGTTAATATCAAATCAATTTCACCGATGGTATCCCTCTTAATGCCATCAAAAGCTCTCACACAAACGTTATTAGGACGAATCCTTCCCATCCCGATTTCCATTCTTTGCAATGTGGAGAGTGGGCAGATGTCAACTCCCGAGCCTCCATCCACCATGACTCGCTTGACATAATAACCTTCACACTTGACAGTCAGATGCAAGGCTTTGTTGTGAGCTGCGCCTTCCGGAGGCAAGTCATTTTTACTAAAAGAGAGTTGATTGACGGCGAAGAACCTTTCTGCCATCCTTTCGAGCTGTTCGACTGAAGTTTCAATTGGCACATACGCCTCATTCAAAGTTTTCATTAAGATCTTCTGATGTTCGGGGGATTTCGTCACCAATGATAGCAGGGACACCTGTTCAGGATATTTCCTCAATTGATCCACTGTTTCATAATCGGGCATCTTCATTTTCTGGAAAAAGGCTTCTGCTTCCTCAGCACTCACTGGCTTCTTGGATGAAAAGCGCTTTCGAGCGGCATTGTTTACCTCCTGTACATTTGAATATTTTTCAACAGGGACTGTTCCTGGAAGTTTTCCCAAAATTTCCTTACCTTTGTATGTAACCACTGTTTGCTGGTAGTTCCATGGTACCGCAGAGGGGTCTGTCATTGGCTTTTGTGGTACGCGTCCAATAACCACTGGCTCATTCAGCCGAGGCGGCTTAATTGTCCCCGTACCACATAAGCTCCTTTTGGCACATACATTTGCGTTCCCTTTTTCACTTCAAACTTCCTTGGAGCACTGACAACTAGTGGTTTTTCTTGGCGTCCTCGCGGAACATAGAGAATTCCATTCTTAGGAGGTTCCATCTCTGCTTTTGTTTCAGGTTTCTTCTCAGGCTCAGTTTTGACACTTTTATTCTTCTTCTCCCCTTTCTCTTGCTTCGGGGGTACCTTGGGCTTCTTTTCTGCGTCGGCAATAGCAATTATGGCTTTCAAGGCTGGATCAAGCTCCCTGTCTTCACAAATCATACCGATTACCGGCCCGTTGTTGTGAGCGGGCAACGGATTATTGGTCACATTCGGGGCTTCTTCATCCATCAACACTATTTTCCCTTGTTCGATCAAATCTTCCACAACTTTCTTAAATGTCCAGCAGTTGTCAGTACTATGCCCTTCAACTCCTGAATGATAGGCACAACGGACACCTCGTTGATAAGCTGGAGATTCCGGGTTCTGCCTGTTTTGGGGGATAGGCTGCAGCAGATTCATCTGAACGAGCTTCGGGAACAGACTGGAGTAGGGTTCACCAATCGGCGTAAAATTTGGACGTCTGGGTGGTTCCCGAGGGCGGAAGTTATTTTGCGGTGGTCGGGGATTATATTGGTTCTGGTAAGGAGGTTGGTTTCTTTAGAGTGGAGGTGGATTTCGGTTAACTCTTGGTTGCGGTCGGCCGAAAGGTTGGGCATTCATGACCGCATAAGGTGGGGGAGCGTAAGCCATATCAGTGTGAGTATAGTATGTTGAGGGGTTTTTTTAGAGAACACCGGTCTAGGAGCCCGGTATCTTCTTCCTCCCGATGCTGCCATCGCTATTTCTTCTTTCATTTTGCCTTTGGCCATTCCTCCAGACCTGCCTTGGATGGCTTGGGAGGTTGCTCTTATGGCTGACTGGCTCAAGATTCTACCCGTTTTTAGCCTATTCTCTACCATCTCTCCGATTTTTATTGCCTCTGCGAAAGGCTTGCCCATGGCCGACATCATATTCTGAAAGTAGTCTGCTTCCTGGGCTTGAAGGAAAACAGTGACCATCTCTACCTCATCCATCGGAGGCTTCACTCTTGACGCCTGTTCACGCCACTTAATTGCATATTCGCGGAAACTTTCTGAGGGCTTTTTCTTTAGATTCGCCAAGGAGTTCCTGTCTGGCGCGATGTCTATGTTGTACTGAAATTGTCGAACAAAGTCTCGGGCCAGATCGTCCCAAATATGCCAACGCGAGACATCTTGGTCCATATACCACTCTGAAGCGATGCCAATTAAGCTTTCCCCGAAATATGCCATCAACAATTCTTCTTTGCCACCGGCTCCCCGTAACTGATTGCAATACTTCTTCAGGTGAGCAATGGGGTCACCGTGTCCGTCATACTTCTCAAATTTTGGTGTTTTGAACCCTGACGGCAAATGTACATGCGGGAACATACATAGGTCTGTATAGGAGACACTCTTTTGCCCGCTCAAGCCTTGCATATTTTTTAAGCTCTGCTCGAGGCTTCTCATTCTCTTTTCCATATCATCCTGCTCTGGGGCTTTGGGGGTTTTGTCCTGCCCCGGTGTAAGCTCGTATGGTGGTTGCTGAGAGTAGGTATATTGAGTATAATGAGGAGGGTCAGCCTGAAAGACAGGATTTTGGAATGTGAAAACCGAGGGATCGAAAGCGTGCTTGGGTAGTGATGGTTGTGTGGTGGCGGAGCATGGTGGAGCAGTGAAGATATTGGGAGCAGCTCCAGATGGGAACACCTGGGGGCGCACCTCAGAAGATATTCCTAGGAAGTGAGCAGTTATGGTAGGTTGCCCCAAAGGAGTGTTTGGGTGGCTGAAGGGGACAATAGTACCACCTCCAGATCTAGGGAATAACTCCGGGAATCCGGGAATGGCGCTTGGAGGTTCCTTCGTTGTTCCAAGCATCCCGACATTTCCATCAATCGCAGGCGCAAGNTCCGATTTTCTCAGCTGTAAAAGCTCAGAGGCCGGGTACCCCCG